AGATTCGGCAACAAGTATGTCTCTCTCTTTCTCTCTCTTCAGATGTTATTGAAGTGGCTGTTGGTGCTTTCAGCCATTGGCGCGTACCTGAGCCTGAAAAATAGCAGGCTCGGTTAGCGACTTCGTGCCGCTCGCATCACGCAGCAGGTCCAGCTTAGCCCTTCGAAGCATAGCAAGCGCAGCAGCCAATGCAATCTTTTGCCACAGCCAACTCACCAGATCACAGCAACAGTATGATACCGTAATGACTGCTTGATATGAGCCACTTTGCATGGCCTGGCCGAAGCTGCCTCCGTGCAAGAAATCTGGCAGAAAGGGCAAGTGGCCTCCTCCAGTTCATGTAGCATATAGCAAGCTCGGGCAGTGCTGCACTTTTTTGATGGTGTGTTGTACAACCTATTTGTCAGATAGAAGCAAAGCAAGTTGAAGCGTTTTTCAGGGATCGAGCCCCCAAAAGGCAGAAGCAGCTCTCGGAAGAGCTTCAGCAGCCAGGATGCATGTCCCATGCCCGCGGAGGCCCCTACAGAACTACGATATCTCAGCAGGACCAGGGCAATTGACATTGACATGAATGAATTTTATGATCCGTGGCTGTTCAAGATTTGCATCCGCGAGCAAGGCCGGCCTAGCATAACAGCAAGTGCCTCGGCTTTGCTCCCGCACCAAGGGTCCTAACCGCCCGATAGGTAGGAAGACTCGCAAAGCATATCTGATTTCTCTGAGGCCTTGGATTTTCAGCGTCTTGGCACCCTTGAACCTAGTCATATCCTTGCATGTCTAGTTCGAGTGTGCCTCAAAGGCATCAATGTCAGACAGCCAGCTTTTTCGAAACAACGTAGCAAAGCGGGCTTGACAAAATCCGTCGCTAGCTCTAGGCATGTCCGTCATTTGCAAAAGTTGCCACGAGGTTGGCTGTCCAAGTCTCACCTGCATCAGCATGCTGCCGCTTCGGCCATCTCGAAGTTGACGATCAGGACTTGGCCTTCCCACTTGATTGGTATACGTAAACTAGTTCATGTTCGGTCTCTGGCGGAATACTCTTCTCTTCACCAGCACTTTGCAGCTGATTGGATCCCCCTAGCTGCTTTCAAGTTCTAGCCGCCCTCCCTGAAAGGACCAGACGGTTCCTTTGCCATCGACGAATTTGCTCGCGGATGCGCGCAGAAAAAAAGCTCCGGGCTCGAATATATTGATTCCGGTTGACGAAGCGTATGAAGTCAGCTATACTGGGATTATACAATCGACTCTGATTTCATACTGGGTTAGACTAAACGAGGCGGCTGCAGGTTAATCATATTGGCTGACATTGCTGACCTGGTTCGTAAACTCGTAAACTCAGTTTTATTCACCATTGCCCGGTTTGTGCAGCCATGCAAGCATTGCGCCAATCAGCTGACAGCTTGATGTTCAATGGCGTGCACGACTCACCGGGCTGCCCACATTTGTGCATGCCTGGAGAGTTTCCGCTCTGTGTGCTTGGCTCTCCACAGCTGCTTAGACAGCTGAAGGGTTGCGGTCATGCATCGATGGGGAGACTTGGCTGCCCGAAGTGGGCTTGATTCGCTTCAGTGGATTGTCAAGACGATGCTCATCATTCTAAGGGTTTACACTTAGAGGCTTAGAGGTCAGAGCTTTGGCCGACTGACACCCACGCCCAGGTCCATCCCCTGGAGCCCTGTGTGGGCTGCTGACTTTGCTGGTCATGACCTCAATTGACACCACAGTGTTTGAAGGGGCGTCGGCAAGTAGCGCAGCAATCGGCAGGTGAAACTTTGTGGCAGAAAGAGAGGGTGTCAATCCCTGAAGAAGTTTCGGGCAAAGTTTGAAAAACAAACATGCACTATCATGCACTCACCGACGGCCGCATGACCTCGCGAGCACAGAGAGGCGAACGCGCTGCGCATTCACAGCGCCTAGGCCGTGTCCAGTCTCTCTGTTCTTCTGCTCAGCAATCTCGTGCAGCGTGACGAGCAGCCTCTGCGGCGCCTACAGACACAGGCCCGCTTCAGATCTGAAGGTGGAAGAGTTTATACTGTAGCTTTCTGCCCAGTGCATGCCAGGATGAGGATGGAAGTTGGCTTCGGGCTTTGCGCTTGGCCAATGGTGCAAGCTTCTGGGCGCTGGTTGCGATAGGCCGATGCCAGCTGATAACGATTCTCAGAGCTTTGTCAGAAGAAAGCATGGTGCCACAGCATGCGTGCTGAGAGAGCGCTGTGAGCGCAGCGTGCATTGGGCATGGAGGCCACTGCGTCGGATTCCCTATAGCAGCATTGTACTGGCGCTGCTTCATCGTGCCAAGCTACGACAAGTTTATTCCTCAAGATGCGATCATACCTCAAGATCTCTTCGGTGTATGGAAGTATGGCTCCTCGGCATCCTTCATTCAGACGTGCTGGACGGGGCGCGGTCAGTGCGAAACCTGTCAGTGATAATCTCCCGGCTCATGTGTACTGACCTAATGGATACTGTAATGGGAAACCTAATGTTGGCTTCGTCAGTATTCAGGTCAGTGGGAATGCTTCGGCGCCTGCGGAACTTGTCTGTGCTTCTGTTTCTGCCCGTGCTGTTCTATCAGCGAGTATCTTGCCTACAGATCAGCTCTAACCTTCGAACAAAAATCGTCAGCAGATGTCAAGAGCCTACTACCCATCCAGACTTTTCCCGTTTGTGAAAAATTCAATATCCCTTGACTCCTGCCATGTGGATGATGAGGTACTGGTATCGAGCAGGACATCTTCACGCCAGCTCTCGGAATAGTCCAGAACACGTGGCCGGATGTCCGGGCTCACAGCCCCTAGACGCTGACGGGATTTGAAGTACAAGTGGTAGGTTTCAACGGGACATGTAGGAATCCAGGAACATCTTCCTGCAATGAATCGTCAAGCTGCTAGAAGCTAATTATTCAGGATTGATGCAGGAAAAGCTAAAAAGTGTGACACAGAAAGTTGATGGCTATTGCGGACACTATGGATGAATACTTGAGGTACCATTCGCAACTCCAATGTCTTGCCTTGCCACCCAAAGCCTCGATTGGAATTTCAAGCCGGCTGCAAGGTTCTTCCTGGGCTGCTGCGGATTCTGGCTCCTGCAGGAGATTCTCTGCTCCCAAACTTAAACTTAAACCCTATGCGGCTCCCAGCTTGATTGATTTGTGGCCATGGCATCCGAAATTTCAGGCTGTTGCTATGTCGCCGGTCTGGCAGCCGGCACTGGCGGCATGAGCTTTTGCGACGAGGATGGCCAAGCAGGCCAATTGAAATCCTGTTCTTCCCCGCTTCGCAGGGGCAGGTAAGGTTGGCCAGCTGCAGCCCCGATGCCACTCGTGTCGAGGCTCAGGCATGGGCAGCATCGTCCCTTTTAGACAGCGCTACGGTCTTTCCCATGACGGCTGCTCGGCTTTTGCAACTGCTCAGTCCTAGGCCACTGGTCAGGCAAAGGATGCAGATGCTGCAGCGTAGTTAGGTCTTTGAACCACGGTTTTTAGCTTTGCTGGCGTGCAAGAGTCGTTTAACTACCAGTCGACCAAAACATGCATTGCCGTGAGCACAAGGTTGGAAGACCTTCATGCGCGACTGCTGCTGCTGGCTTTGGTGTAACTAGACTTGTCGTGGTTCTGCTTATGACGGGGACATGTGTGCTCTCATGAATCTAGTACGCAAATGATTCAATAGCTTCCGCATCCTCACTCTTAATTTGGCCCAAGGCGGGACAGGCCAGCAGACTCAGAGGATGCAAAAGCTTGAACTGTGCAGGCATGCCTCTCCAGGCCACGCGAGAGTACCGCCAAGTGCGAGACACCTTGGCTCATTGGCCTTTGCAGACGTCCAGCCCACCAGCGCCACCTGAATGCACTTCCGCGCGATTCCGTAGCTTACTTTGTCTTGAGGCATTAGGCAGCTATCCATGTGTAAGCTTGTTAGCTTGTCACATCGGTTGTTTTCGCCATTGCTCGACCAACAGAAGCCGAACGAGTGCAAGGTTGCCAAGGTGGCATCATCTCAATCAGCTGAACCTGCGGAGAATTCTGAAGGGTAGTTGTACCTGAAGTTGGACCTTAAATGTGAAGCGCGTGTCTTTGTCAGGGCAATGGTTGTTGGGCAGCCGGTGGCGGCCGTCGGGCAGCCAGTGGCAGTTGGCCAACTTGCATATTGGCTACAGTACAGACAGACACGGGGCGTCCCATCCTTTCTGACCTTTCAACGGTTGCCTGCTATGTACCAATCATCTGCACTTGGGGGTTGTTACCTCGTAAATGAACCACAGATTGCCTGCAAATTTCCGTGATGGCCGCAATATGCCGCAATACAAGAAAAGCATCCTCACATCAACCACTGGTTGAATTGGATATGCCAACTAAGGCACCAACCCAACAGAGTCCAACAGCTTATGCCACTGTTCCCAAAGCTTTCTGAGTCGCTTCTGCAGCTTGGCGAACCTGCCAGACATGAGGCTCCAAAATGGAGCCAAGTAGTTGTGGCTTTGGCAACATCCGTTAGCTCACATTGGCACATGGTGTCAGGTCCTGTAACCGCGACGCAATGCCCCAGTGCCCTTCTTCATTTGCCTCAAGACGTCAAGAGGAACAATGCCCGCGGATGCTCCAGCAAATATGTAGGACTTGGCAGGCACTTCCACAATATTTGTTTCAAGTAGCGCCGTGCGTTCCCAAGACGGGAAGCTTCGGTTCAGGTACTTGCCATGGAGCATCAAACAAAAAAATTCCTTCGTGAAGAAGCTGGCTGCAGTTTGTTGTTGCGGCAAGTCCGAAGAATCATTAGCCTAGCGTGCCGAGCTGTTTTCAATGGCTCCGCACACAACTGGCCGTGCTGATCCGACGTGATAACATGTCACGCTGAAGGAGGAAAGTGGCAGATTCTGTTGTCTTGGATTCAGGCACCACCTTTACCATGAAGTCAAAGCAGCTAGCCTTACAAGCACTTGCCACAACACTTCCATTGCCAGGCATAACCTGTCATTGCATGCAGAATGCTCTGCTGCAGGTTGCCAAGACGCTGCCGGGGACTTGCCTATATCATGAGAAAGTAGCATCCCGCTGTCGCACAGCTAGCTCGTCCAAAGTTTGCACAGATTGGCTTCTGGACTGGCCCTTCACCTGCCCTGAGCATCTCCCAGCCAGGTTTCAGTTCCTCGCAGACAAGCGAAGCTGGTTCCTGAAAGATCCAGATGCCGACGTTGGCGGCTGGGAGGACAGCAAACTAGCTTGGAAGGTCGAGTACACAATGGGTGGATACATGTAAGCATGTTGGTTTCTGTTGGCCAAGTGTAGCGAAGTGGTTGCCCGCAATTTTACACTCCAACGCATTCAGACTGATTTGTGATAACGTTGCAGGACTTGCCTGTGGAAAGCGTGGACTAGTAGTTCATGGCGCGTCCGGCACTCGGTCCTCCTGCACTTGCAGCCAATGGTGGGTACAGTTTTCGTCGGGTAGTTCTACGCGAAGACGCTGAAAATCCAAGACTGCAAAAGGAGAGTGTTGGAGACCCAAGATGGCCACGCAAGCTGCTGCAGTATTGTCTATTGTAGAAGCTTGCGCATGACGAAGTCTCTCAGGTGGTCAAAGGTATCCTGCACTCTGTTTGAAGAAGCGGTTCCATCTAATGCAGCATTGCTATAGCAAAACGGGCCACTTTGTAATACATGCCTCAGGTATGCAGTCAGGTGGGGTGCATCGCCGAAGGCGTTAGAATCCCTGGCTGCGCACTGCCTCCTGAGGGAGAGGCTCAGGCACCGATCAGTAGCGCAGGACAGTCTGAATCCATGCATAGATATGGCACATGTTTGCAGCATTTGCGTCCTACAGGGGCAAATGTGCGAGACTTACTGGGTCCCAGTGTTCTTGGGCAGCATGTTCGATTGTCGAAGATTAACTAGGGAACCTTAAGTGTAATCGCAGTGCTCATTATGGTGGCTGGGGCTCTGAATGGCTTGTGGCTTCTGGAAAATGTGTTTCGTCAGCCTATTCAAAGCTGTGCTATGCTTCTAAGTTAGCTAGGGTAGCCTAATGCCATGATATGGTAGTAACACAGTTTCCCTCACGTATGTTTCACTTTTTGAGATTCCAGGCGGAGAGTGTGAGACACATGGAGCAGAACCTCAAAAGAGGTGGCTTTGAGGTAATACGCTTAGCCTTTTTGCATGCTAATTGTATAAGGCATTCAAGGGAGGGTCTTGACGAGCCTGCGCTCCCATGGGCACCTTGTTGGGTGCTTGTGCCTCCACCAGCGCCGCACATGCAGTGCCGCTAATTCAGAAAGTGGACCGAGCTTTGTTTTTTCTGTCAGGCTCTGTGCTTTCAGTGCAATGGCAGAGATGATTAAGTCAGGCCAACTGTGGGTTTTTCCTGAAGCTCTGATGCTAAGGCCGTGTGCCTGCGAATCCTGCGATTTGGGTTGCTTGGCCATTTGGTTCAAGGCAGGCAAGGCAGGCAAGTCTTAGTGAAAATCCGAAGCTCGGCATGGACCTTCAGTATGGCTGAAGCCCTGCTCCTATGTCTCTCGCGCAAAGAACTTGGAAGAAGAAATGACGAATGAGTAATACACTGACCCCAATGAAGTTTCAAAGCTTTGCAGTCTAGAAGACACTGCTTCACTGTCTCCATATGCTGTGTTCTTGACATGAACCCTCCAACCCCATCACAGCACCAGACTTGATATGATTATATGCCATCCAGCCGACGCCTTGATGCCATGACCACCCAGCGAAGCGCGGGGCGGGCCCTGCTGTTGCTTGCGCGACCTGGCTGCCGGGAAAACAATTTGGATTGTGCACGCTGAGCATGACTGATGCTCCGCGGCTTGCTCATATTGTCTCGTGTACGAGGGCATCCTGACATCATGAGGCTGTTTTTCATGAGTGTTGTCAAGCCCCTCCAAAACAATAAGGCCGGGCTTTGGAGCGGCTGAGCTGGACTGCTGGACAGACGGCATCACACGTGGCCAGTGCCGGCCTAACGCGATTCCGAATCTTGCCAGTTCATAACAGCTTGCTAAGTGAGTTGGGACCAGGATTGTGACATGCAAGTATCACCTGCGATCCAGCAATCACCTTCATGATGACTAGTGCATCGACACATTCACGTCCACATGAGGAGAAGAAGGCACAACCATCAGCCTTAGAAGGATTAATTTGCACTTTTTTGATCAGGTGTTGCAATGCCATCTTCGGCCCCGGAGGAAACTCTCACTGCAGCTCAGCCCATATACCTCAGCGTGACGCAACATTAGCGGAAAGCAAGGCGAGGTGCGTAGGTACAAAGAATCATCTCATGGGCGAGATGCCTCTCGCTCCGGGCTGACAGCTAAAGACTCCGAATTAGCTCTTTGGCCCGGGGGCTTGTGACAGCCAGCGCATTCACATAGATTTGCAGGCGGGTCTGGAGGACTATCATGATTGCAGATTGTGCCGAGGTTGGGATGGGGCAGCTTTCACGTTTGAGAGCTGTTGTGGTGAGCTGCTCGCCAGAGAGTGGGTGCAGATCAGACAAGTAGGCAGTTCCTGTATGTATCTATCAGTTATTATGATTCTACACGTTTGTTTGTGTGTGGAGCCCTTGATAGCTTCGATTCCTTCCGTCCGCGCTCCTGCGACACAGCTAGGTTTTACGAACCACGCGACTGCACAGCCTTTATCACTCACTTCAGCTTCAGCGTGGTGGGCAACTTCGGACCTTGGGCTGCAGCTGCTCACCTTCAAGCCAACAGTAGCAGGACAGCCTTAGCATCTTAGCATCTTTGGCCTCACCGTAGGAAGCTCAATGAGAGCGGCCTCCTTGTATCATCGAGCCTGTTGACATTGCACCCAGGATGGTCGCAGCCAAAAAGTGCGGGCGAGGCAGATGATTTTCCCGTCACTAAGCAAGTTATTGTCAAACTGCAGCGGAGTTGTGTCCCTGAAAGCGCCTGTATCGTTTCCAGCCACCAGAGGCTTCAACGTTAGGCCTGCATCAAGAGGTAATGCTCCTGCAGAGGCATCAATGAAGGTAGCTTCTGGGCTTCCGCTTAGCTTCACATCCGGCAACGTAAATGCAACAGGCTTGGGCCAGGTGTGCGCGGGTCATGGACCTTGAGGCGGAGAGGTGCCAGCAGCTGAAGCTGATGTAGCCGTGTAGCCGCTGCATTTTCATAAGGGTTGAAGCATGTCAAGCATGCACAAGGTCGATGTCAAAGGGTTGAGTGTCAGGCCGAAGGGTGTCGGGCTTCGCAATCGCAAAACTCCGGGACTTTCATGGTATGTGCAAGTACGGAAACAATTCCCGGCTTTCAGGCTCGCATGTGCGCCCGCGGCAGGTAGAACCCCATGTCGGAAGCTTGCATCAGGGCCTCGCAGAAGAGTCTTATCATTGCTCAGAAACTAGAACGAAGAAGAGCCACAGCTTTCCTGACCAGTACCGGGATGTCTGTGCGGCGTGTGATTGCAGGGTTGAACAATAGTCCTATGTGCGGCCCCATGCCTCTTCTGCAACGGCTGGCTCAATCTACAGAGCTGATTTGTCTGACATTGGCTCTCGGCGCAGATGCCCATTACAAGCCGAAGTGGACATTCAAGCCAAAGTTGTGAAGACACATAAGTCCACTGACAGAGTCGCTTCCGCACATGATTTGTCTCAACATCTTTAGACAAAGTACATCTCTACTTGTTGCATGCAAAGCCAGCAGAAGCCCACAGCGGTGACCCGCAAGCAACCTGAAGAGAAGAGAAAACACCTTTCGGGAATTTGAGATGCTGCGATGGACGGTCGGCTGTTGCCACTCCTGCTTGTGGCAGTGACAGCTCAATACTGCCTCAACAAGGAAGCGAGCCTATTGAAAGCTAGTATATATGATTTCTTGTTGGATGCGAAGAGAATGCCGGCTCAGCCAGCAGTGATATGTCACGTCGGTGGGCCCGCGTTGAGGAACAGGAGGCTGAGTCTTGAATTGCATAGACTCGGCCTGCAAGGACTATGGAAAAGAGCTCCGCTTGATAAGCACCTCAGATGCTCTTGGATCCTGAAGCTCGCTCAGTATCTGGATTCACGGAGCCTGCAAAGGAAACTCGTCATTCGTCATGCCAAGTTACACACAACGGGTACATCTGCTGTTACATCATTCGGGCTGACTCCTCGAAGGGGCTGGAATAGGGTTGCAGAATGTTGCAGAGGATTGCGCATGCAGTTCCTTGAGCTTCAGACGCCCCGCCTGAAATTTGCATCTCTTTGAGACACTGTTGGACTGAGATGTGGATGGGCAGAACTTCGTCTTTCCCCTGGCGTACGGCGCATGGAGTTCAGCAGGCGCAGAGCCGGGATTTCTGTCAGCAATGGGAGTGCATGGTCAGACTGGCACCAGTTGGCTATCGCGTGCTGGCCAAGCCAAAGCCAAGCCACAAGCAATAGCACCAAAACCATCATCATCATCATCATCATCATCATCATTGCTTTGGAGTCATTCTCCAGGGCCCTAAACCCTCGACCCCAAAACACCATCCGCAGGGCTTTCATGGCAGCAGTGCAAGATGGAGTCATTCTTCTGAATGGGTCAAGCCATGCCTGCGAGAGACAGCCAGCCATGTGCAGGTCCTGTCGCGGAGATCGTGCGGATCCTCCTAGAGGAAGAACTGCCGCTTGTGCTCCAACAGTTGTTACGTAGCTTGAACTCACGCAATTTGTGGTCGGAGCAGCTTCTTCCTCCATATGCCCTGTGAGTCAAGTGATGTGTTCCATTCAATTTAGCGCTGCAGCATTGATGCTTGGGTCTGAAACCAGGCATGTGGTGGTGGGCCTGAATCAGTTTCGATCAAGCACAGACCTCCTCAAGCAGACGTTGCTCGTCCAATTTTCAGAGCACAGACGTGAAGGGCGGGTTCATCGGCAGACTTGCAGTTCATCGGCAGATTTGCAGGCTTGGCTGCACCGATCTCAATGGCGACCCACGAAGTGGGGTGACTGCTGAGGCAAGGCCTTGTAGCATCCCTCGCGCAAATTCACAAATGGAATGTCTTTTGCGATGAAGTGGCCGTGTTCGGAAGGGTGGCGGGTGGCGTGGTGCTGTGTACTGACTGAACAAGATGTCTTCGTGTAATGTGCAGGCAAATGATGTCCCCTTCAAACTAAGAATCCCATCCCCGCAAGAGGATGTGGGGCTGGGATGGTCCGAGCCTCCCCACTATGCCTTGTCCAAGTCTAAGTCCTTTCATCAGAGTACGTGCCAGTAGTGCCAGGCGGCCACTCTAACAGTTTTAGAAAGGGTTTTGCTTCCAACTTCTACGTCCTGGCGGATCCGATTCTGCAAAGAAAAGGGAGAGGGTTTGATTCGGATTCTGCAATTACGCAGGGGGTTCTGAATGTGAGGTGTCTTCAGCTGAAGCATGAAACGTGC